TCACTGACCAGTCCATGTTCCAATAACGTAGCTGAATACAACGCGCTTCTCATTGGACTCAGTTTCGCCAAGGAGCTGGGGGTCGAATATCTCGAAGCTTTTGGGGATTCTCAATTGATAGTCAACCAAGTCCGTGGAGAGTATGAAGTCAGGAACCAAGACGAAGAAAACATAAACGCCAAGGAGGTGAATTCAACTCAAATTGGGTCTGAGTCCCGAGATTGGCGTTTTTCTATCATTGACTACGTCCAATATGGTATTTTGCCAGAGGATGTGAAAGAAAGAGAATCAATCCGTCGAATAGCACCAAGATTCTTCTATAATACCGAAACCCATACATTATATCATCGAGGGTACGATGGTTTGTTACTCCGATGCCTTTCGAACAAAGAAGCAAAAGAAGTTCTTAAGGAAGCACACGAAGGAGAATATGGTGCACATCAGCTCGGGCCCAAACTGTATGATCGCATCAGGAGAAATGGTTCGTGACGCAATCGAATACGCCCGAGAGTGTCATGCTTGTCAAATACATGCAAATTATATGCACCAACCACCAGAACATTTACACACATCAACTACGTCTTGGCCGTTCGAGACATGGGGTATGGACATTGTCGGTCCTATTTTTCCCCCTTCAGTCAAAGGTGATCGATTCATTCTCGCAATCACGGACTACTTTTCAAAGTGGGCTGAAGCGATCCCGCTTAGAGAAGTAAAGACGAACAACGTCATCAACTTCATCAAACATCATGTCATATATCGACACGGCGTGCCAAGACGGATCATTCATGACAACGGTCCATAGTTCATAAGAAACGTCTTCGTCAGGTTTTGTGACAAGTTCAAAATTCAAGATGTTTCGTCAACAGCTTACTATCCCGCTGCAAATGGATTAGCTGAGGCGTTTAACAAGACGATCATTAAAATCATGTCAAAGCTCGTGAAGACCAATAAACGAGACTGGGATGATAAACTATGTGAAGCATTATGGGCTTATCGTACCACCCTACGCACACCTACGGGAGCTACCCCATATTCGTTGGTATACAGATGTGAAGCTGTGTTACCATTGGAAATCCAAATCCCATCCCTTCGGATCGCCCTCGCGACTGAGATGACGACAAAAGAACAACATCAAAAACGTCTCGAAGAACTCGAGAGGTTGGATGAAAAGCGCTTGGAGGCTCAACAACATATTGAGTTTTATCAAGCCAGAATATCTAGGGCTTTTAACAAAAGAGTCCGACAGAGAAGCTTCAAGGAAGGAGATCTGGTCCTCGCTGCTCGCCGACCGATAATCCTCAACTCCAAGAAGAAAGGTAAATTTGAACCCAAATGGGAAGGACCGTTTGTGATAGACACAGTCTACTCAAACGGTGCATATCACCTGATTACTCAAGAGGGCGACAGGCAATTAATGCCAATAAATGAGAAGTTCCTAGATCCCACTTCTAGTTTCTTTTTCGCTGGAAATAGAATATAAAATTCTTCCTTTCCAGAATCAAGGAATAGAATATAAAATTCTTCCTTCCTTATATTCGGGTTCGTCTTCACCCTAAAAGAAGACCGGGAAATAAAATATAAAATTCTTCCTTTCTCGCACCGATCTTTTCCAAAATTTATCAATCTAGGATTCATCCTAGGAAGTTTATCCCGAATCCTAAGCAGGGATAAGTCTGCGCCTAACACGCGCCGCCGGTTTACTCTTTCTCTGTAGAAAAAGACACCAGAGTTTGATTCTGGGGTATTTTATCCTGAAGCCTAAGTAAGGATAAGTCTGCTTAACCCGCGCTGCCGATTAGTTCTTAACCGTTAAAAAGAACACTCGCCCACATATTCAACATTGTGGCAGGTTGTTATTAATAACACCAAAATCCATGCCTTACACGCATGGGGAATTTCATCCTGAATCCTAAGAAAGGATATGTCGACGCCTAACACGCGTCGCCGGTTTAGTCTTTTTTCGTAGAAGAAGACACCAGAGTTCGATTCTGGGGTATTTTATCCCGAAGCCTAAGTAGGGATAAGTCAGCATCTAACACACGTTACCGGGTAGCCTATTCCCGTAACAATGGCGAAGTCTACGTATTCGAAATCGTAGCACCAAGTCTAAGAGAATTCACTCTCTTAGCACAACGTCACATGCGGAATGGATTTAGACAATCCGCATGCTAGCCTGACTCAAACGGTAGTCGGTAAAGGCTAATCAAATCCGTTGAAGGCTGGGGGTTAGCCAAAAATCCTAAAGTCAATGCCTAACACGCGTCGCTGGTTAGTCTATTCCCGTGAGAAAGATGATGTCTATGTATTCAATATCGTAGCACTAAGAGCGTTAACTCTCTTAGCACAACGTCACATGCGGAACGGATTTAGACAATCCGCATGCTAGCCCGACTTAAACGGTAGTCGGTAAAGGCTTATCAAACCCGTTAATGGCTGAGGGTTTGCCAAAAATCCTATAAATACGAGAGTCACTGACGCATCAGCTTCAATAGTTGGTCTTGTGACTTGAGCATCCAACGACAATCGAAACCCTAGGGTCAACACCGGTCAACGCGTAACCCTAGGTCAACGCCAGTCAACGCGTTACGATCAAAAAGTCAACGTACGACGTTCAAAACCCTAGGGTCAACGCCGGTCAACACGAAACCCTAGGTCAATGCCAGTCAACGTGTTGTGATCAAAAAAGTCAACGTACAACGTTCAAAACCATAAGGTCAACGCCGGTCAACGTGAAACCCTAGGTTAACGCCAGTCAACGCGTTGCGATCAAAAAGTCAACGTATGACGTTCGAAACCCTAGGGTAGACACCGGTCAACGCGTAACCCTAGGTCAACGCCAGTCAATGCGTTGCGATCAAAAAGTCAACGTACGACGTTCAAAACCCTAAGGTCAACGCCTATCAACGCGTAACCCTAGGTTAACACCAGTCAACGCGTTGCGAGAAAAAAGTCAACACGAATTAATATATCATGACGGAGATAGTCAGTTCAAAGTCAACTCGATGACACGAGCCAAACTCAACTCGTCAGTTTTAGATTTGAGACTTCGACGACGGCCAGACGATAAATGCGGCGCCGGAAGGATTTCAGCTATTCGTCAAAGCATCGAATAGACTGAAAATCGAAGGAGTCAAGAATTAAAGCTAACTGCAGGTCCTTTACACTGACCAGGCTAAACCAGTCCTGAACCAGTCCTAAACCAGTCTTGAACCAGGCCGGTTCAGCTCATTCTTAACACTCCAATAAAGTATACGAGTATAAACTATTCCCTATTTTTCGTTGAGAAGTTCCTGGAGAATATTTTTCTAAAAATATTCTTAAGGATAACTCAACAACACTACGCCGGACAACACGTCGCAAATAAGCACTCAACGCCGACAATTGATGGTCAGTTCTATGTTGAACCAACAAACACGAGCTAAAGATCA